CGTCTCCGCATGTGACGGTTTCCAGAGAACGGAAACCCTATTTTTTGACTAACTCTAAAAATTACCAAATTTTACAGGCAAGTAGATCTTAATGAGAGGCACAATTTTCATACCTGGGCCAAAGTCCAATTCGGTCAGGAAACACCTCAAATCACCCTCGATCTGCCGGAACCCTAGAAGTGGGTGCTTTCCAATTCGTCTTCAAATCAAACTCTGACGCCCTAAAACTTATGGGTGGTGGTTGGTGGTGGTACTTGCAGAAATGGCGAATTTTCACCGATTTCCCCACGGTGCCGCCAGCGCTATCCCCACGAAACCAAGACAAAAAATTGTCGGGTTTGTGGTGGAACTTGAAAAATGAAGGTCGTGGAGTCGAGTGCAGGTGGTGGCAAACCTTGGATCATCGGAAAAACGACGGAAAAATTGACGGAAACCGTCATCAGGAACCAAGTCGTGACATGGAGCCGGTGGGGGGATCCGGTGCTTCTCATTCTCTCTCCCTTCCCTTCTTTCTTTCTTTCCTCATTGGTCACCCTCTCTTTTCCTCTTTCCTGATTAGGCAGCACCCTCATCTTTTTTTCTCATTTCTCTTCTCTCTCATCCGTCCATCTCTCTTCTTTCTCTTCTTTCCTTTCCATCCTAGCCACAAATGTGGCATCATCTCATGGCTCCAACAAAATCTGGAGCCTTCCAGATTTATGGTCAAATGACCATTTTGCCCTCGACTTCGTTCGTTAATAACTCCTTCGTTATAACTCCAAATTCTGTTTCGTTTACGCTCTCGCGTTCGTAGTGATGAGTACTATGAGGATACGCCAAGAAAATAGATCTTACATGGCACAACAAGGCGGTCAACAAAAGTCAACGTTTTACCTCGGAGGGCATTTTCGTAAATTTACATATTAAAATTATAAAAACCGTAATCTTTGGGGACGGTTCGTTACAAAAAAAATTTAAACAACTAAATCCTTTTAGATAATGGACAATATTAATTTCGTTCAACACAAATTTAGACAATCGAATCATTTTTGTATACTCTGATCCACCATTACAAACCAACAGACATTATTGATGAACTTATAATTTCAAAACCCATTTAATTGAGAATTCAGTAGCAACAAAAATTAGCTAGGATATCAACTTCCGCTCAAATATAATCTCTCTCTTACCAAAAACAAATGGACTATCAAAATATCAACAAGTTGTAGCTAAGGCTCCCTTAATAACTGAGTCGAGAAGTAAAAAACGACACCCAAGATTATAGATATGGGTAGAGCTGGCAAAGCTTGATGTTACATTGACCACAAAATAAGAGTGCACTTGAGTCCCGAAATAATGGCAAGATAACACTGTAGAAAACGAAATCCCCTAGACCAAGTTTAATACCTTTGTATTGAACATTTTGCTACCTTCTTTTCATCTCTATTACCGTCACTTTCCTCGTTCACTACCTCAACATTAACAACAGTATACTCAGAATTACCACCATTTTCATTCCCATTTTGATTCACATTGCCCGGAAACTGATTCGTTAGATAATTCTTTGAGGCATTAAATCAAACACATGAAGTGTGTATAAAGACTACCAAAAAGTAGTACGAGAGATAGATGGAGGAAGTCTATCAAACACCTGGAGATAGGTGGATGAAGACTATCAAACTCTGTCGGCGACCCACTCCTAATTCTGTTGTTCGACGACGAAGCATCAGACGCCTAAAGTTTCAATATTAACTGATCAATTAAGCAATTGGCAATCCCCAAATGAAAAAAAAAAAAAAAAATCTTTCAACTCGAAATTTCTTATGAAACACAAAATTCAAATACCTAGAAACCCATTTGTGCAAAAACTAATTGAATTAGAAAAGAATGAACCATTGAGCTTTTGGGGTTGGGGGCACGCACTAATTCCTACGTTTTGTCGGTCAAATAGCCTTCTTGTGTGACCTTCAAAGCCTGATTAATGCGGTGGGGGGGGGGGGGGGGGGTGGGGCCCGAAAAGAACGAACCTCTGAGCGTTATGTGCTTTGATTTGTTCTGGAAATAGGGGAACGAGGTGAAAAGGTAACGGGCTAAAGGCTCACACGTCGTACCACTTAACTTTTTTTAGATCACAAAACGAAACGGCGTCGTTTTGCTTAATGATTTAAAAAAATAAAAAATTAACGCACTCTGTTGCAGCAGCAGAAAACCAGAGAGCGGGCTGAGCAGCTATCACTTCTAACAGGACCAGAGGGGCAGAAACCACCACTCCTAGGCTTGATTTCCGGACGAGAAGAGGGGTGGCCATCCTCCTTGCTCCTCTGTAGCTTTGCCAGTGGAAGCAGAACCATAGGCATAGTCTAATAGCGTAGGTAGTGATCGCTTATTGCAGATATACCAATCATGATGATCCTTAAAGAACGTATAGTCCCTCGTTGCGAATATACCAAGAAAGACCATCCATGTACTACACTGCTACATGGTGCAGTCACATCATCACACATCACACCTCTTACTTTAACTCAACACCTATGATTTACACGTGAGTAAATACACTATCAATCCCACGTGACTAACAAAATATATTGTCATACAAACATATAAGTTCTACATAATACTTCTAATATGGTTTCATGCTCGTCTTTCATACTAGCAATCACACATATCGTTATATCATCTAGAAGTTCAATAATCACATAAATTTCAGTAAGGTGCCAATCGCATGCAAACGGAAGCATACATCCCTCAGGATGGCTCGCTGGCCAAGGTAGACCCACTAGGCTCTATGAGATATCTAGTAAGGTTAATTTCAGTACTTAAGAATGATTCAGAACATTTTGACTAGAAGTCAACCCTCAGTCAACGGGGTCAATGGTATGGTCAACAACCCTAGTAATCCAATCCGGAAAATTCGTATGTCAAATTTCCGTTATGTAAATTTCTAAGGACCTCATATAATGCGTATAGCAACATACTATAATTTCATAATGACCCAACTGTCAGATCCTCGTCTACTACAAAGGTTAATAATCTAAGATTATTCAATCCGGAAGATATGTACATCGGATTTATGATCCGTAAATTTCTAAGGTCCTCACATAATACATATAACAACATACTATAATTTCATAATGATCCAACAGTCGGATCCTCGTCTACTACAAAGGTCAAGTGGCGGCCATTTACGAAACTATGATCAAACAACAGAATCATGCCAAACGGACAACAGAATTGAATTCAGGGCATGAAACTAAGCATAGAAACACAAGGTCAGTTTTTTGCATCCATTAGTTCAGACTATTTATACAGAAACCAAAACTAAAAACGCGTTTATTCTTAAAAACAAATACATGGAACCATATTTAATGGTAGAGTTTGTTCTTGTCGATTTGTTTATTGAAGAATTCCACACAGGGAATTAGCTTTGCCGTCAAGCAATGCATTTGCACAGTTGTGCCGTTGAGCCAACGTCCAATTGGTACTCCATCAGTTTTTTGGACATTGACATGATACATACTTTTCAATTGCCATCTTAACGTTATTAGTGATATATATATTAAACGTCAAACAACCAAGTGTGTATTCGACAATGATTAAACATACGAAAATCATAGATAAGGGGCACATGTTCGGACAAAAATGACCAAAAAATTATAGAAATTGTGTGTTGTGTCCCGACCCCAAGAAAAAGTCGGGTGTGTGTCTACATTCTTAGAAAAATAAACCATTATTAAATTGAAAAAAGAAAATATTATAAACATTGTCGGTGTGGTTTGAGCCAGGCAATAGGTTCAAACCCTGTGATATTTCTTGCGGTTCATCCCATAGTTTATAGGTGTAGCTGTGATATTCAACGTAATTTGTAAATGTGGTAGATATTATGTTTTAATATAATAGATTGCAATTTATACTCCACTTCATTGAATAAATAATATATATCGTTGTACGTAAAAATAAATAAATAAAGGAGATTGGGTTTGTCAACTAGTTTTCTCAAAGGTAAAAAACATTTGATTAATTAAAAAAAACAGTGAACATCATCGATAAAGAATACAAGTCCATTATAACAAATGCAACATAAAAACAATACAAACCTAACTACATAACATCCAAGCAACCAAAAAATAACGCCCATAAAGACAAAACTTACATCACTTTCTAAAGAACTTGAAAAAAATGACGCTTTCCATAAAGATGTTACCTTATGATAATATTCTTATAGAAGTGGTAAGAAATGTTCCATCGAATTATAGAAAACAAGGCTGGTTCTTGTGATTTTTTTTTTGTTTGATGCTCTTGTGAATTTCTGTGTGTGTGACGAGATATTTGTCATTTTATAAAGAGTAATGCTATACTAACTATCTGGTTATACTTTCAATTGTACTCTCTCTCTCATCGAGATAGAGCTCATCAACGCATATGAGTCTCCTTTCTATTAGAGATGGTACAAATAATTATATAATTTGATGGTTAAAATAGCATTTTTGTTTTACAAAATAGGGTTCGTGGAATCTTCCCCAACAAAACAAAAAAATAAAATAAAATAAGTAATTCATGAAAATCTCCAACCCCACACAAGAAACAGAAAGCGATTGCGTCCGTTTACTCCAAGTCAAGTTGTGGATAGATATTTGAAAACCAAAATCCACCACCCATTTCTTAAAGGGAATTGTTATTAGCATTCTAAAAATCTCATTTTACATTCCAAACTTTCTATATTTGGAAAAAAAAATATATTGATGAGAAGTGTAGAATGAGATTTTTGAAGTGCTAATAACATTTCCCTTCTCAAATCCTATGACACAAAAAATTCTCCGGAATATAACAACTGTTGAGTCGTTATCATACAACAACTGTATTGCATAGATTGTAGTACAAACCCCTCTTCCCATATTTTCCACTTTCATCTTCTTCGTACAACTCTCTTTTTTTTTCACCCAATAAGTATGTACTACAACCAAACCTTCAAACTTCAACCCCCACCATTTATAACCACACCCACAACTAAATCCGTTTAACCCAATGCCCCTCTCTCCCTCCTCTCCAAACCCAAAAGTCAACAACGATGGCTCCACCTCTCCCTCGCTTACTCCTCTTCTGTTCTCTCCTCCTCCTTTGCCTCACCATCCCCGCTTTAGCCCACAGCGGCCACGACGACGACGACGAAACTGAACCCGCCACCAACGACAGCGAAACCCCGCATGACCTCCGTTCGAGGCCTCTAATACTAGTCAAGATTTGGTGCCTCATCATAATATTTTTTGGGACGTTCGTACCCGGAGTTTCGCCTTATTTCTTCAAGTGGAATGAAGGGTTCTTGGTTTTGGGTACGCAGTTTGCTGGAGGTGTGTTTTTTGGTACGGCGATGATGCACTTTCTGAGTGATTCCAATGAGACTTTCAAGGACTTGACCAAAAAAGAATACCCTTTTGCATTTATGTTGGCTTGTGGGGGATTCTTGCTTACAATGCTTGCTGATTGTGTCATTTCCTATGTGTTCCTCAAGAATAAGAGCGGTGTGTCTGCTGCTGATCTTCAGGTTCAGGGTAAGTGCTTTTGGTGTTTTAGATTTTGTTCTCTTTGCTTGCTTAGTGAGTGAAATTTCTTGAACGGGAAATGATTAAGACGCACACTTTTCAGCCTTTCACACGCCCTCTTTAATCATTTCCGTCGATTTTGTTTGATTCTTTCAAATCAGATGGCTAGAAGCATAGAAATATACTTTCCGCCTGTTTTCCTTTGAATTATTCAGTTCGATGACCAGAAATATAAAATTATAAAGGGACTAAAAGTGTGTTGAAAATCAGTCCTTGAATAAACAACTGTTTGATGTTGGATTTTTGTTTTTTGGTAACAACTGTAGTCTATGAGATTTGAACTCCGACCTCCTCAAACTTAACAAAGTGGAGACGGGGGTGCCACTAAACGAACCGTATGTGTGTTTTTGCTGAGAATTGTGATTGCGACAATAATTTATGAAGCAAAACTAGGCTTGAGGTTGACTATAAAACTAAGACAGTCGTGATAGTTTATTTTTCACTACAGGTAATATTGAGCAGGGAAAGGGTGGTCAATATGGCACTCAGGTAAGATATATACTTGCTAATTTCATATATCTTCTGGTGGTAATCGTATCAGGATTTCCATACGTATTGGGGGATTACTTGGTGGCCGTTCTGAGACTAACTCGAAATTTGTTTTTGATTGACCCGGCAGAGCCATAACCACTTTGCAAATGCAGTGGTTGCAAGCGCTACTTCACTTGGGGACAGCATCTTGTTGATAGTAGCCTTGTGTTTCCACTCTGTGTTTGAGGGCATTGCAATTGGAGTTGCTGAGACTAAATCCGATGCTTGGAAAGCCTTATGGACAATTTCTCTTCACAAGGTATTTGCGGCCATTGCCATGGGCATTGCTCTCCTTCGAATGATGCCTAACCGTCCCTTCTTATCATGCGCTGCCTACGCTTTTGCATTTGCTATTTCAAGTCCTATTGGTGTGGCAATCGGAATCCTAATAGATGCGACAACCCAAGGAGCTGTGGCTGATTGGATATTTGCGATTTCAATGGCTCTAGCATGTGGAGTGTTCATATACGTAGCAATAAACCATTTATTGGCAAAGGGCTATACACCCGACAGAGCAGTTTCAGTTGACAAGCCCCAGTACAAGTTTCTGGCAGTTTTGTTGGGCATTGGGGTAATAGCTGTTGTGATGATTTGGGACACTTGAAGTCATTGTTCGTGCATGATTTGTTTGTGGAAGATTGCGTTCGGAAGTATAGATTCGTTAGTAGCAAGGCAAAGGGTTGATATATGTGATTTTGGTTTTATTTTGATTTTTGCAATCATAAGTTATTAGTTCAGGATGGAGAGCAGTGTTGTAATGATCGCCAAATGTTTTTAATTCGTATGCATATTGATACAGTTATAAACAGATGCTTTCCGGGTTTATATATATAAGCAATATTTGGGGCAGAGGATTCGAGCTCAGTACCTCAGGTGCAGGAGTAAACATCCTTAACCACTTATGACCAGTCCCTTGGCCTTTCCAGGTCAAGCAGCGTATCCTAATGCCATTGAACTACAGCCTATTGCCATCGTCTTGTGTATTCATTTCTTCTGTTTGATTCGCACAAGATTCACTTCTCAAGTCCAAAACAAGCTGTATAATGACACACTGAACCGTTCATTTTTTTCATGCACCACTGCAGAATGGCTTGCTACAATTTTCTCAAGCTCTCTCTCCTCCTCTGCCTCATCCTGGGCCAACAGTGGCCAAGATGACGATGAAAGCAACAAGAGCGACAATGTTCACACCCTTCCCTCCAAGCCTCTAATACTGGTGAAGATTTGGTGCTTGGTTTTGGTGTTTGTTGGGACATTTGGAGCCCGAACATCACTCTACTTCTTTAAATGGAACGAGGGGATCTTGGTTCTTCGCACGCAATTTGCCGGGCCTGTATTGTGTTCATTCACTTCTTGATGCATGCCAATAACTGTGATCCTATGCTATGTTATTTTATGCTTACACCAAACCTTCAACCTTTTCTCCTGCACCAGTAGAACATGGCGTGCTACAATTTCCTCAAGCTCTCTCTCTCTCTCTCACTCTCTCTTCCTCTTCCTCACCCTCTCCACATTGGCCTATATCAGCCACGATGATGTTGAAAGTGAAACCAACAAGAACGACATTCGCAGCCTTCGCACCAAGCCTCTAATACTCGTAAAGATTCGTGCACAGGTTTTTTGTTTTTTTTTTTTTGGGACATTTGCAGCCGGAATGTCGCCCTACTTCTTAAAGTGGAACGAGGGGCTTCTGGTTCTAGCCTCACAGTTTATTTGTGGTATTTTTCTGGGAACAGCTCTCGTGCACTTTTCAGATTGATTCAAACAACACTTTCTGTGGTTTCGTATGTGTATACTAAGCAGGACAGTGACCCTCAAGTTTAATGTTTCCGGACCATCCCTTCTTATCATGCCCGGCATATGGTTTTCTGCCTCCATTTCCAGTCTAACTGGTATCGGAGTTGGGCACAACTCAAGGTAGAAGGCAGATTGGATCTCCGCCATTTCGATAGGTGTCACATGCGGCGTGTTCATATACGTATCCATAAACCATCTGCTTTCAAAGGGCTATACAGCTCACATGGCAGTCTCCGTTGACACACCCCATTACAAGTTTCTGGTTGTGTTGTTTGGGATTGTAGTAGTAGTATCGGTTGTCACAATCTGGGACACTTGATATAATCGTGCCAAGCTCGATGTCTATTTGATTCTATCCCCGATATCGCTGGTAAAATGAATAAAAATAATGCTAACTATTTGATTCTATCCTCGATATCGCTGGTCTATTTGATTCTATTCTTGATATATTCTTATAAAAATAGTAAGAAATGGGGTTTGGGGTTCGTGGAATATTCTTCAAGAAAACCAAAAAATTACAAATAAATAATTCATGACAAATCTACAACCCCACACAAAATACAGAAAGCGATTGCGTACATTTACTATAGGTCAAGTCGTCGATGGATGTTTGAAAACCAAAATCCACCACCCATTTTCTTTTCTTCTATGTCATCAAATATTCTAATAGTCCTCCGAAATATAGTTGTTAAATCTTTATTTTTTTATGTTCTAACTAAAAACTTCGAGTTTAAAAAGTTAGAAGTATCCGACAATTCAGATAACCATATTAAATCCTGTCAATATCATACAACTGTATTGGGAGTGTATTCAATTTCATCTTCATAGTACAACTCTCTGTTTTTCTTCCCCCCCCATAAAGTACGCACTACAACCAAACCCGTTAAAACCAATGCCCCTCTCTCCCTCCTCTCCAAACCTACAAGTCAACAACGATGGCTCCACTGTTGGTATATGGTCCAGCCCATGATGAATGTTCTAGATTATTCTAGTAAGCAAGTGAGGTGGCTAGAGCATGCTAGACAATTCTAGCATGTTATTAAGTTGATGGAAGAAGCTAGAGAGTACTAGCTTCCTTGGTTGCAAATGGAAAGATCTAGAAGCTACAATTTTGTGGCTAGTCTAGAATTATCTAAATTAGAGGTTGGTAGAATATTCTAGAAACTAGAAACTAGTTCTAGTTTGTAGAAGGAATTAGAAACTAGTAGAATGTCAAGCCCTCACATATAAATATGGGTGTAGTGTTGTAATCAAGTAACCAAGTGTGAGTAGCAAAGGATCAAGTCCAAAGCTAGAGTTCCACTCCAAGAGTGAGAGTGAGAGTGTTCCACTACACATTGTGTGAGTGAAGTTTAGAGTGATAGAAAGTGTGTGTTATACTTTCTTGTATTCATCAAGCCTTGTCTTTGGCTTGGTAAGACTACTCTTGTTGTACTCATCATTTTCATATAGTGAAGATTGATCGTTGTTCCGTGGACGTAGGCATAAATTGCCGAACCACTTAAATTCTTGGTGTCCATTTTTCACTTTACTTTGTGCATTCTCTATCTTGTAGTACCGACATTCCTAACATTCAACTCTCCCTTGCTTACTCCTCCTCTCTTCTCTCCTCCTCTTCTACCTCACCATCCCGCCTTAGCCCACAACGGCCACCATGACGACGATGAAACTGAACCCGACACCAACAACAACGAAACCCCACATGACCTCCGTTTAGGCCTCTAATACTAGTCAAGAATTGGTGCCTCATCATAATATTTTTTGGGACGTTCGTACTGGGGTTTCGCCTTATTTCTTTAAGTGGAATGAAGGGTTCTTGGTTTTGGGTATCCAGTTTGCTGGGGGTGTGTTTTTGGGTAATGCTATGATGCACTTTTTGAGTGATTCCAATGAGACTTTCAAGGACTTGACCCAAGAAGAATACCCTTTTGTGTTTATGTTGGCTTGTGGGGGCTTCTTGCTTACAATGCTTGCTGATTGTGTCATTTCCCATGTGTTCCTAAAGAACAAGAGTGTTGTGTCTGCTGCTAATCTTCAGGTTCAGGGTAAGTGCTTTTGGTCTTCTAGATTTTGTTCTCTTTGCTTGCTAAGTGAGTGAAATTCCTTGAACGGGAAATGATAAACACACACGCTTTTTAGCCTCTCACACACTTCTTTTTAATCATTTCTGTTCATTCTGTTTGATTTACTCAATCCACTAACAACAACAATAACAACAAAGCCTTTTCTCACTAAGTGGGGTTGGCTATATGAATCCTAGAAAGCCATTGGGCTCGGTTCTGTGTCATGTCTTTCGTTAGATCCAACTACTCTAAGTATTTTCTTAGAGTCTCTTTCAAAGTCTTCTTGGGTCTTCCTTTACCCCTTTGGCCCTAAAACTCTGTCCCATAATCGCATCTTCTAACTGGAGCGTCAGTATGCCTTTGTTTGATTTACTCAATCTGATAGCTAAAAATAAAGAAATTTACAGGTTTGTGTGAGTAGCTAAAAAGGTGTGTGAAAATCACATTCCCACCGGTTTCCGTTTGATTTATTCGGTTTGATGACCATAAATATAAAAATATAAAGGGACTAAAAGTGTGTTGAAAATCACTATCCTTGAATAAACAACTATTTGGTGTTGGATTTTTGTTTCTTCAGTAACAATTGTCGTCTATGAGATTTGAACTCTGACCTTTTCACACTTAACAAAGTGGAGAAGAGGGTGCCACTAAACGAACTGTATGTGTGTTTTTGCTGAGAATTGTGATTGCGACCATAATTTATGAAGCAAAATTAGGCTTGAGGTTGGTTGTAAAACTTGGACAATCAAGTGATAGTTTATTTTTCACTGCAGGTGTTTGGGCATGAATTTTGCTGGGAAGGGTCCCTGGCTCGAGCACACAGCTCCCCGAGGAGTTGGCACTTTGGTTGTTTGTTGGCTTCCTGCTTGTCGGAATGCTGCAAGAGGAGGACACAATTAGTTATGAAAGGTTGCATTTGTGGGGCCTTAGGTGTAGACCTTGAGGCTCATAATCAAAACTAACTGAGTGCGAAGGCATGCCACTGCCATCTCCATATGACAGATGTAGAACAAGTGTATTTAAACCGATTACTTGTGTCCCAAGTTATTCTGACTTTTTGTTATCAAAGGATTGTCGTGGATGGGTTAAGTCCACATTAAGTTCTTTTCTATGCCTTGAGACCAAGGACTTTTAATTCGTTATCTTGTATGCTTAAAGCGTGAAGGTCCAGATTTGATTAAGTCATCAGTTTAATTTACTTTTATGATAATAAAAGTACTAAGTGAACCAGATCTGAGAGTTAATGGAACTTTGGATCATCAAAAGACTGGAAACACTTGAAGGAAGATTTGTGAAAAACAAGTTTATTTGAGCAACATCAACAACATGCAATTAACAATTAAAAGGCGGAATCATGTTTATATGCACTCAAAAACAAAACTTAACCCATGAACTTCAAAGCCTAGTAGATTGGTGAACCAAGACTCAACTCAAAACAAAGTGAGTTGAGAAATCAATACCTTTGTAGATTCCTCTTTGCATAAGCAAAGGCTAATCACCCAAAGAGAGGGCCTTCATTCCTTGCATCTTAGATCCATGGATTTGGATGGATGAAAAGGTTTCTCCAAGTTCCCAAAATTGAGAACCTCTAAGTCTCCACACCAAGGCATATTGTAGAAGAAATGAGTGACCATGAGGAAGTAAGATTGCTAGATGTTTTCCTCAAGGGTGGCCGGCCTCTTTTAGAGCAAAGGGAGGTTTGTGTTCTCATCTTTACTCCTAAGAAAACCCTAAGGATGAAATGGCTATAAAGATGTCTTTATACCACCTCACAATGGAGTGGCAAACTTGCAATTAAGCCAAGTTCACTACCCTCCTCTAAATGGCCGGCCATATGGGATTTATTGGGCTATTTGGGCCTTTGTGAATCATTATTCATTAAGTTGTCATACAACTTAAGTCAATGGACTTGACGTTCGAAGCCCATTGGGCCTTAAGGTCCAAAACTATCCCGAGGTCTTTTAACGAACTTATTCGTTTGATTAATAA